GCCCCCCGGGGCCCCCCCTTTGGGGGGGGCCGGGGGGAGGGGGATGTTTTTTTTTTTTCCCCGGGTTGTAGCAATTGGGGGGAAGGGGCGGGGTTTGGGGAAAAAAATTTGGGGGGGGGGGGAGAAAAGGGGGGAAGACTCGGGAAAACCCCCCTTTTTTTTTTTTTTGGCGGGTTTAAAAACCGGCCCTTTTTGGTTGGGGGGGCCCCCCCTTTGGGGGAAGGGGGGTTTTTTTTCCCTCCCGGGAAAAAATTCACCCAACAAAAGGGGGTTGGGGGAAAGGAAAAAAAGTTTTTCCCCCCCAAAAATAAATTTTGGGAAAAAAAAAAAAAAAAACCCGTTTTCCGGTTTTTGTTTGGGGAAAAAAAAATTTTTTTTTTTTTATAAGGGGGGGGGGGCCCCCCCCCCCCCCCCCCCAAAACTCATCCTGGGATACTCGAAGCGCACAAGTAAATGCAGCCGTCAGGGCAGAACTGGGGATCCAATCCCGACGATCGGGAAGACACGCAAGGAAGCTAAAATGGCAGTACCTCATGAAAGGTATGGGAAAGGATGGGTTGCCGAGAATAGCTTGGGAGGCAACGTGGGCAAACAAAAAAGCCGAGAAGGTAGCCCACGGAGTGGGTCAAGGCCATAGAAGACGCATGGAAGGAGCACGACGGTGATACGCTGGAAACGGAAGGTCTAGAACAGAATCAAACCACAGAAAACATGGATGAGGAGGGCCTAGATGTGTACGGAATGCTGAAGAAGGGGTAGGGTTCAAAGAGTACCCTCATGGACCAATGGATGCAGGGACAAAGCTGACGGTCAAAATAAGGACATGGGACATTTGGCCTTCGAGAACGTAAACGAAGATTAGGAAGGTAGGATGATGAAGACGACAAGTTTAAATGTGGATGCGGCTTCGAGTGCGATAACGAGTTCATGTAGTTGCGGAAGTTGGTTGTACAAGAAGGTGAGGGGGGTGTACATGACTTAAGATGGGAGAACTAGAGGGAAGATACAGGGAGATGTTTGAGGCATAGAATATCCAGGAGAAGACGGTAGCTGTACTGGGGCACCAGGAAGTCGGTTGAAAAGGCGGGAAGTGATATCGATTCGATAGATAGACAATAATAGTGGGAAAGACATTTTTTGGCCACCTTTGGCAAAGTAGTAAGGAACAATTGGCCATCGGTGATCGGTCCTGTGGGAACAATGCTCCGTCCTCACGAGGACGCGTGGTCAATGGTCTAACCGCTAAGGCACACAAAACGTACGAGCGCACCCCCCCCCCCCCTCCCCCCGAATTATCGACCTACAAGTTTCACAGCTGCAGAAGAGAAGCTTCATACCGTAGGTGCTACATATCCCGAGAAGAACTCACAAACTGTCCGAGTAGTGCGAAACATTCCCGTACAGCACCGCGACCATGCATGTCCCTAGAACTACGACGGGGACGGCCGAGCGGGCTCGCGAGCGCCCTCCTTCCAGCGGACCCTGAAAAAACGACCATGAAGGGACAAGCGGGAAAATGTGAAGGCACCTTCCGTCACTACCGTAGATGAACGGCGGTCTACTTGTAGATTCGTTGAGCGGGAGCGGGTGACGCTGCGTAACATTTTGGAAGACCTGCGAAGACCCAAAAGTCAGGGGGATTTTTCTGGTCGCGAACAAGTGCTACGGCAGCGTGTCACACGACGACCTGGCGACACAAAAAACGGCAGAAGGGATGGATTGGTACACAATATGCAGGAAGTGCGAAGAAGCCCCGCGCATGCCAAAAAGCACAGGACGTTTCTGCGTCGCATGCAGCAGTGCAAGAAGTGAGAGAAGTGCGGTACACCCCCGTTCTCTATTTTCAAAGCTGGGCTCGTGTGCGTGTACACCGAACCGAGGTGTGCATGCATTATTTCGTTTTCAGAAAATGCTTGACATCTTGTAAACCAAAGAACGTTCCCGATATAACCACAGCAGTCAAGGAGTGGCTTCAAGTCTTTACGGTGAGAGGGAGGACAACCGGCTGGATTCCGGGCCTATCTTCAGTCTGTTGAAGCCTTAGACTGAGTTTTTAGCTTGATGCCAGCTGCTGTAATGGTATATACACATGCACACAAATCGTTCTGGTTGTCTCATGTTTGTTTTGACGGCTTCCACTTCGAACAAGAAATCAGACAGCAAGCACCCAGCATCTTGCGCACAGCACGGCTCAGTAACTTACGCAGCCTCACGTATCGGTTATTGAGGTGTACTCATATGTACGCACACCGGTCGGACTACAAACTTGTGGAATGTATTCTACGCCGTTCGTTGTGTGCCAGAGAGCACTACGTTCCTGCGTGCCTCCGCAAAAAACTAAACGGCACGACTTTGTAAACACCCACCGGGTGGGGTAATTTCGGTCGCATGTGTATCTCCGTCCGAACTCTTGGAAGCACATGTGTTGTTCAGACATCACGCACGGACCCGGTCGTGAACCGATTCAAAACTATGTCGATGCTTGATTCGAAATCCATGCATGCGTCGTGTAAAGGCAGTCTGCTGCTGTATGATGGCCCAAACGTAGGCCAGTGTCATCCTTGTACAGTAGTTCTTGGAGTTTCAACGGTTCAAACCTCCGTTCCCAACGACTCGACGTATCGTGGCTCGGTACACATATTTGAGAGTGGGAAAGCGCTGGGAAAAAGGGCACGAAACAATATTCCACGAATCTGCTGCAGCTCAACGACAAAGGGGACGGTGAGGATGGAGAAGCCGCCATGCTTTCTGTGCACTAAGAGGCGCACCGACCTCTAACACATACTGTAGCAGTACACAGACTTGAAAACCTGCCACACACCTGTCTCTTGTCGCCAAAGCAGTATGCATGTACTCATTTCTATAACTGTTCTATAACTGGATGCAGGCATGTATGCATAGCAAACTACAGCAGTAGATCCACCGGAACCAGCGAGACCCGCCTCGTCCCTCTGCCATGACCAGCTTGGCACAGGGAGCGCGAGCCAGAGCACAAGCGTTATTGCCATCACTGAATGCTCCAAGACGGACAAGGCATGACGCATGCAATCTGGCCGTATTCTGTTCGGCGGGCCCGGCGTACTGGGTGAGCGGAGAGACTACAGCAGTAATCCTCTGCTACTGTCCACGGTCCCTAAAGCGATTTGGGGCTTCCAGCACTATCGCACCTGCCTATTCCGTCGCCGGCTCTGAGCTGCCCCCGTGACGCGATTCATTCCCAAAGGTGTCGTGTTGCAGACGCTACCCAGTGATACAGGTGGATCCCAGTCCAAGAACGGAGCGCCACGCCCTCGTCGGTTGGCCTGCTGTGCCACGCCACGAGGGCACGATGTTCCAGCCAAGGCAAGCCAAGACAGCAGGGGGCTCCGTGAATGCACCGTGTTTCGTGCCCATGGAGTACTAAGGTACAAATCCGCGGACCGGAGACAACGCGATCTTGTCTTTTGCCGTCTTTTTAGATCTGCTTTGATCTGCGATGGCACATAGGCTGCCATGTGCAGGTCTCTCCCTGTCCGCCCCCTGACTACCCCGCCTACCTCTCCTGAAGCTAACATTTCTACGGTCTTCCGGCCGGCGAGAGGGGGCGTGAGCCATGCCTTCGTCGCGGGTGGTTCGTTGCTTGGGAGCCTGGCTGCTCCTACGGGACGCCCTCCTCACGCCTTGGATTCCTGGCCGTTGGGGCACAGCAGCGCACCTTCTTGTGACTGGCCGCTCGGCATCAGCAACGCCAGGAACAGCAGCAGGAGCACCTTCTGAGGAGGCGGTAGCGTCGGCGGTAGAGTCGGCGTTAGCGCGTGGGCAGGAGCTTCTGCTCGGTGGACTCCTCCATGAGGCCGCCGATGTGCTCGAAGGAGTTCTTGAATCCGAACCCGAAGAGCCGAAGGCACTGCTGCACTTGGCCCAGGCTCTCTCCCATCTGGGGCACCCTGTGCGAGCAGCGGAGCTCCTGGACCGGCTGTTAGGCCTTGGTCAACTCACTCCTGAGTCAAGGTCCTTTGTGCTAAACCGACGTGGTATCTATCTGATGGCTGCCAATGACTTTACTGGCGCGCGTGAGAGTTACGAACAGGCGCTTGACGGTCGTGGACATGGGCACATCAACAGGCATGCTCTGTACAACCTCGCCCGCTTGCTGCACTTCCATATACTTCCATCCGAAATAACGATACCGGATTTTTCTATCATTGAACGCGCTATCGAGCTCTATCGAGAGGCACTCGGTCCGGGCGGCGATGGTATAGGAGGCCCAATTGACCGATCTGCAATTTTCAGAGACATGGCGGCGGCTCTCATGTTGGCCGGCCGGGTCGAGGAAGCCATCGCGGAGCTCGAGTACGCCACAGCAGAGATGTCGGAAGACGTGGAAAACGCCACCACCAGCGACATCAGCAGCAAGAGATATAGCGATGGTGATGCCGATAAGAGCGGGGGTGTCAAGGTGGCGGCTCTGACAACGGCGGAGACCGCAGCAAGGAACAAAACTGCGGCCTTCCTGTGGGATAGCCTCTCAAGCGCTAGATCAGCTGCTGGAGATATCTCCGGTGCAGTTGCCGCAGGTACGTTAAGCATCACTGCTTGATCAATCGATGGGAAGCAGTTTCATTGCGCGACAAATTGAATGCAGACAACGCAGTCTATCCCTATCGGGTGTCACACGGATGGATGTACATATATCTGTCGATTACACCGTATCAAGAAACGGAATGCACATGTAAATGGCACGAAGAGCGTCCAGCATAGAATCATCAACAACATGGGTATGCATATTTGTACTCTTTCTGTGGGATTTGAATCCCAAGGTTGTCTCCGGCAAGGAGGTGCTTGATTCGGGCTTGTGCACATGTGGTGGCAATTTCCATGTGCTACTTGGTTACACAACACAACGCCTACCCCTGTACGTTTTGACGTTTCAGGGAGAACGGCACTCAACCTCGTGGGTGACGAGCCCGGTCTCTACCACAATATGGCGGTGCTATTCCAGGTGATATTGCCGCTAAAACCTGGTGGCCCGAGTTTCCCTCTTGTTCGTGATGTTCTGCCCCCAAATGTTCGACATCAATGTTTTTAGGTTCGTTGATGTACAAAAATGTGCCACGCAGTTCGTGATCGACACCCAACACTGTGCCGTGTTCGAGCCGGCTCCGCTAACGGTGGAGTCGTCTCAACCATCGTGTGGTTTCGTTTTCGTAGCGCGCATAGCATCAGCCAGATTAGGGAGTTTTCATCCCCAGCTCTACTAGAAACTTTGTTTTGCTCTAAACGGCTTCTTGTTGAACTCGGCCGAGCGATTGTCTAAGGACATGGATAGATGACGAGGTGATTGTTCGAAGATGAAACACGAGGTGAATTATCGTCGTGGTGGTTGTGGGCAAGCACCTACAGCAGCACGATGACTCAATAGTAGGGGTGTGGCAAGTCGTGTCGAGCGAACCCTCCTTTGCCCCATCTGGTCGTGGAGAGTTGTCGACGACCGTATGCCACCCCACCATACTCGGATGCACCATGGCCGGTTTCCTGCGATGACCTTCACGATATTTCTTGGAGTGCAGAAGGCGGGGTTGCTGGAGGAGGCACGGGACGCCTGGCTCACCGCGGTGGCGCTCGACCCAGGCTGCGCACCCGCCCTCACCGGACTAGGTCACCTCGAAGGAGCACGGGGAAACATCGGGCAGGTATGGGGTGAGCTTACCACGATTCTAGATTCGGACCACCTAGATTCGGACCACCTGTAGATATTGAGGGTTCACGGACCGGTGCAGAACCTTGCCGCATCTGTCGTCTCCATTAGGTTGCAGGACAAAATATTTCAAGCTTTAGTCGCTTCGTGCGGTGTACCACAGAGGCGTGGCGCGCATATTGCATTGTGCTTGGCCATGTAGGTCATGCCACAGAGGCGTGGCGCGCATATTGCATTGTGCTTGGCCATGTAGGTCATGCCACAACTTTGTTTGCACGTGATTTACACCACTGCATCTAGACTACAGCGACCTTCCTTCGAGTCGCAAAGACAGCACCAAAGATGATGGTGGTGATCGCGCACAAGGGACGTGAAATATTCTCGATTCCTCAACAAGTAATTGTTTTCGTTAACCATCCACTCGACGCGTCATGCCCCATGAACTCGTCACTCCGCTTTGTCCTCGACGCATGTCTGCACCGATCTTGGGGGCCGAAACAGGCACGAGAGTTCTATGAAGCATCCCTGGCGGCTTTGCGGTCTCCCGAAGTGGGCAAAAACAGTGGTCACAGCCACATCACCGGTCAGGACGGACATCTAATTTCGATGTTCCTTGTCGCCACCGCGGTTATCCCCTCCCTCTACGAGTCCAACGGCCATATTACGAAGGTGTGTAGACGGCAAAGGCTGTTCAGCACGTGCCTCCACAAGCAGGGCCGCTGCGACTGCAACCTGGGGTTTACGTGTCAATACTACAACAATGTCACACTCCGTAGGTCGGTACACCAATTCTTTCTGATTGCCCACTTCGCCTCCAGAGCTATTCTCGGCAGCCTCTCCTCTCCTATACCGTACATGCGGCACTGCCATTTAGGGGGCGATTTTACGGCTAATTGTTGTACTCTTACGGCAGTAGTGTTGGTAATGATATCGACCCAGAAAGACCTGTGTTCTCTGCATAGGGCAATCGGTGTAGAAATAAGAACAAGAACCCCGTCTATCATTGGTGGATACCTGCTCCAAATAAGAAGTTGGAATATTTAGAACACGTGCTCGGTTGGAGGCAATCGATAAGCGGCATCTACATTGGTCGCATGGCATATCGGGGTCCAGAAATCTTCCCAAGATCGGTCCTTTGGCCGGCTGACCTGAGCAGAAGCTACAGTACGGCAGATGAGAAGAAAAAGTGACCTGATATGTATGTCGTGTAGACATGTATGTGTAGTCGAGGTGGCCGTTCTTTACCCAAGGGTCGTCTGCAGGAGGTTGAGCCTTTGTGCAATTTACTTCCAGACAGACTATCTGTGTGAAATTCTGACCGAAGTCTGTTGAGGCAGCGACCGAAGTCGATGTGGTTGCTAAGTGCCGCTTCTGGGATTCTTTCTTCTTGAGCTTACTTGCAGAGTTGCGATGTTGGGGTGATAGTTGGGAGATGACGAGGTGTGGCAGTGTTCAGCAGTATTTGAGAGTTGTGCAACATTAGATGATGCAACGCGGCTGCTGTTGCTGCGGTCGAGACGACAAGGTATGGACTCCACGACTCCCACCGTAAACATAAACAAACATCGCATGTGTTGGCGCAACAGAGTCGTTCGTGTATGACGCAGCAGCGCCGAGCATATCCTCTTGGGGAACATCACTGCACGCTACAGCAGTAAAGTCCAACAGTACTTCCAATACGTACAGCAGTAGAGAGCACCTTGCTGAACACCTTCGTTGGGTATCGCTCGGCATGGGTAGCAGCTAGCAGGAGACACATACGAAAGCTGCGCAGGCGGTTCTCGTGGGCCATTTTGCTGTGTACCGTAGATGGCGTTTGGACAGCTCATCAGCCTGCATGGAGAATATTCTTTACACTCGTTCGCGTTGTGGAAGACAACCCAATACTTCTCACATCATTGGGTAGTCTATTCATCCAGGGTCGAAAGCAATACCCCTGTAGTTATCAAGACGAATTATGGAAAACGTCCGGTGGGAAAAATATTGTCGGGTCCCTCGAAAAAAGTAGTCACAGGTGTGAATCGAAACTATGACTTATAAGTTATGGGGTTTGGGGGTTATGTTTTGGGTGTCGATGTTCAACGTTCGGGCTCTTGACGAATAGCAGGTCAAATGTCTGCCCAACCACGACCCCGCACCGTCTCCCAGATAACATGGATTGTATCCGCCCTCCCCCACTCTCCCCCCGTCCCAATGTTGCCTATCGACATCATGCCGAAAAACAAAGACAATCACGTTTAGGAGGGGACAAAAATAAGGATTGTCAACCACTCCTCTTACCAAACTGGTCGAGCAGATCCATGCCAGCTAGTCCGCTACATACCGTCGACTCCACACACGATGTACCTGCGGCCACCATGCTGATGAATCTCCACCGGCCAGAGTTTGCGGATAGCAGGCCACCCCCTTTTTTTTGTTTTTCTTTTTTCTTCCTCTCCCTGTCGCCCGCACCTTCCCCCTGCCATATATTAATCGCATATGTAGACTATGTGGCTCGTCCTGTCTATGATCTGGTACTTCAATCCGTCCACTCACCAACAGCAGCAGCAGTTCAACGATCAGTTTTCTCGCTACAACCGCAACTTGACGTGTCAAACCCTCTGCAATGTGTTCCAGTTACGGAGAAACTGTTTACACTACCACAGCTACAGTATACGGAGGGTTTCTCCCCGGTGGACAAGCAAGCATCGCCGATTGAAATTGCCGTTGTGGATACGATTTTAGGAACATTAGACTATTTGTAAAGGCCCTGGGAGAGACTGCGCGTTTATTCTGAATATATAATTTGTTTTTTTCAGGCGGTTGTTTCCCACCGTTTTGTCGAAGATCAATTCCCCTCGGAAACACCAACACATACTTCCGGTCACGCGCTGTTTGTCCCTGTCATCTCCGAGCTTGGACTGGGAGGACGGGCCCCATTCACCGGAATTCTTCCCCCACCATTCTTCATTTTTCATGGCACCTTCTGAGTAGCACTCCAGCTACGTTGTTTCCGCTACCAACGCGTGCTCAGCCATCCGTGTTATCCTCGATGCTTGTTTGGCGCGGTCTCATGTGTTCATCATAGGTGCGCCGCGACTTTGAAAGTGGCCTAGACCATCTGCTAGGCGAACCCATGGACGCCGCTTCGACAGGAGTGGAACGTCCTTCGACTACCGTTGGATCCGGAGCTCTCGGCTACTATATCATATATCAGGCACGAGCCAGGCCCTTCGGTGTTCCAGAGTCTGTTCCTCGAGTGCTGTAGCCGTGACAAGTAACACCTATTGCCACCTAATACCAAATCCAGTGCTATCTACACAGCCGTATTTCCTGTCTGGGGAGGGAGTTTTTCGGATGTGTTGAGATGTCACGTGGAGATTCACGGCCCGACCACAGCCCCGCGTGCCGACCAGCGTCCCTGCGACTTTCTGTCTCGAGGAAGAGATAGGGTTTCCGACACTAGCACGTCACACCAAAGTCTCATCGTGTGTTCGCCCTCCGCATACCGAAGCAGGGCTTCGAAGACGTGGAGGTACGCCGGAAGCTCGCGCGTGCTTACTGGAAGTTTGCCCCATCGCTCAGGTGAGCATGTATGCATGCAAACATCGTCAGGCTCCACAACCAGGGCCCCCGCCCCCAGCCTCTGTTGCTGTGCCACGAGCAACTCATGACCAAAATCATGTCCTGAAGCACACAACACGTAGTGTTACTTCGAGTACGTTTGTCGTGCGCGCATCAAGCCAGTCCTCGGTTTTCTCCCCAACGTGCCCGTATTGGTTGTGCCGTTGCTTCAGGTATTGCGCGCCATTCCTGGCAACCGATGGCGACAAGTCTATCGGACACTACGCACCAGGAGCAAGCGACGCGCGAGTACCTGGCGAGCTAGGTCCGCCGACGGTAGGAGAGCTGCCGGAGGAGCCGCAGGATTCGCTAAACAGGCCGGCAGACAGGGCGGACGTGCCGCCGTCGGGTTTACGAGCAGCGCCCACCACGTCGCTGGCTACCGGGATCGAGGGTATGCCTGCAGGAGTGGGAACGGCCAGCAAGGCTCGGGAAGATCTGGACGACACGGGCGGCCGAAACACGCAGGGGTTCTCTTCATCACCACCGCCGTGTCGTCGCCGTCGCATCAGGGTGGGCTTTCTGTCGGCGTTCTTCTACACGCACTCCGTAGGCCTGCTGGTGGAAGGGGTAGTGACGCGGTTGGACCGACGGCGGTTTGAAACCACCGCGATTTTTCTTCAGCCCCACCCTTCCTCTGCATCATCAGCGTCCTCTTCGTGGAGGGGCTCAAGGGAAGGAGGGGTTGCCGGAAGTGGGGGAGATGGAAGGAAGAATAGCGCGGAGAGGGACCACGTGTACGATGCGGTGCGGACGGGAGTGGAGCATGTGCTGGACGTGCCACTTAGCAGGTACACGATCAGGCGCGAACATTTGTTGCCTTTCCTTCCGTTTTGGCTTTAAGCAGGCCTGCTGCGGAGGGTTGTTGCATGCCTTGAATTTCGTGTCAGTCTTGTGGCTGGTTGGTCGTCATTCCATTCATCTCTCTCTACTCGTTCCATTTCACGTGTCGTGACGAGACACCGATCAAGCAACACGGTTGGTTGCCGGAGGATACCTCGCGAACACAGCGTTACCGCGTTTCATGCTCTCGGTACCCTCTTGGACATTGTTGAACGGGCGCTACAAGCTAGTATATAAATATAGTTCGCTTATCGGTGCATCCATGAAGTGCCGTTGCCACAGTAAAAACTTTGATATCGTGTTCCGCTCGTTACGTTTTCTGTCGACAGTCTCGCCGCGTGTCGCCACGCCATCGCGTCGCTCCAGCTAGACGTGCTTGTCTTCACTGAGATTGGTAAGGCGGTGTGGCAGTATGAGGTCAGATGGTTGTCGCTTGGTAGGGAAAAGAGTAGAACTTGCTGTACTCCCCATGAACGGGCGCGGCAGGGGGGGGGGGGAGACGATCCCAACCATTCTGCTACGCTCAGCAAGTTTGCATTGTTGGTTTCGGCTATCGCGCTTTGTTTGGGCGTCCGTGACGAGCTAGAAGCCTCATAGCCGCGGGGCGGTTTCACCAAACATGCCTCCCCCTTGCTGCTAAGAGCGCAACCCGACGACGAATCAAGAAATACCCGCTGCACACAACGGATAATCTCGCACTTCCATGGAATAACCATCCTTCTCTCGTCATCCTTATCACCTCCTTACCCCCCCCCCCGCCTCACTCCCGCGCCTTTCCGTGCTCCCTGACCTGCCTCCTACACTAAGGCATGAACTTCGAGTCGTATTTCTTGTCCTTCGCCCGCCTGGCGCGAAGATCCGCCGCGTTTTGGGGGCACGCTGTCACGAGCGGCATCAGCGCTTTCGACGCTCTTTCCGCGCCCAAGGGCGACGTCGACGACCCCGGCCCAGCCGCAGGGGCGCAGGCGGCGAGCGTCGGCGTTGCTGATGATGCTGTAGGAGGGATCGACTACTTCGTGTCTTCGTGGCTGTTCGAAGATGTGGGCCTCGGCCGGCGGGCCCAGCGCAAGTACAGTGAGAGGTGAGCCAGCATGAATCTCACACGTGCTGCAATGTTTCCTCCGTCCAGACGACAGGCTTCCGCCGAACCAGGACGTGAGGCTCCTGGGGTGGGTTCGAGAAGGTTCACGGGCTCGAATGGGAAAAACACTGTATTCGAGGAGATGTATCAAGGCAGAAAACATTTCATCAAGAACCCTTGCTCCTGCTTTCACTGTCTCGATTATTTGCTTCCTCTATCGACTACTCTATTCGTCCTCATGTTAACTATTACTACTTGTCGTAACAACAATCGCGGACTCCTCCCATCCTGCCCACCCTCTCTTGCCCTGCCTAACACCCTGCTATCTCCCCCTTGGGTGTGCGTACCAGGCTGTACTTGATGAAAGGTCTCACGACGCGGTTCGGCCGCCCAACACCTACTGTCCCAGGCCTCGTTACTCGAGAAACCTTGGGCATTCCTCCCCGCATCCTCCCGCCTGCTCGGAGTGGCAACCCCTCCCAAGTTTCGTCCTGCGGTAACGCCTTTGCTACTCCTACCGCTTGTGCTTCTTTCGAAGCCGACAAAGATGCCTCTTTCGCAGCCGACGAAGAGCCCGCAAGAACTGCAGCAGACGGACGACCGCTTGCGGTGCCACCGACATGCGGAGCGCTGTACCTGGTGCCCCAGACTCTGTACAAGCTGCACCCGGACTTCGATCGGCTTGTGGCAGGGGTGCTGAGCGCCGACCCGTCCGGGTGCGCGGTGTTCATACGAGCTTTGGAGGCCTACATGACAGAGGGAGTGGCGCGGAGGATGGCAAGAACGCTTCTGACCGCCGGCGTAGAGCGAGAACGAGTGGTGTTCGTTCCCCGGTGGGTGGGTGTGGATATTTCCGTTGTCCTGCTGGACAGGCTGCTGTAGGCGAAAACAATCAAACGTCCGAATCAGATAGATTGACGTTTGCCTTTGGAACCACTTCTTGGTGGCAAGGAGGTCCTCTAGCAATTTCGCGTGCTCTTGTGTAGCGCATTATTTGTATCGAGATGACGCACTTCAGAAAATGCAGGTACCGCAGCCCCAACCAAAAGCGGAATTCTGCTACGGCGGTGGCCATCAATTTCATTTTCAGCATCTGTTCTAGGCTCGTATCGGTTTTGGTCTCCTCGATCATCATTGCGGACCTCCTGGCCACCTGCTTGGCATGCTCCTGCGACAGTGGAACTTGCGCCTCAGTCGCTAGGATCCTTGGGGGTCTTGGGTTACGAGGCTATTTTTCTTTTTCTAACGTAGACGACCAAGGAGTACCTTTGACCGACACCACAACATAACAACACGGACCTCGCGTTTACGCTTGCAATTATGTTCTCCACGGCGTGGGTTTCACGGGATGGGTTTCACGGGATGGGTTTCACGGGATGGGTTTCACGGGGCGGGTTTCACGCTATGGGTTTCACGGGATGTGGTCCACGGGATGGGTTCCACGGGATGGGTTTCACGGGACGACTTCGACCACCAGGGTGGGGCTGAAGGAGTTCTCAGGCCTGGTGGAACTGGCCGACGTGGTGCTGGACCCCTTTCCCGTTGGGGGTGGCCGGTCGTCCCTAGAGATCTTCGCCGTCGGCGTTCCCATAGTCATGCTGTACAGCAGGACGTCTATCCTCCAGGTGGGACGCCATGTGACGAAGGACCCGCGTGCTTTGTGCTCTTCGACACAGTCGTGCCTGGCGTCTTCCGTCGCTGTAGTTTTCCCGCCACCCATGACGTGGCCGCAAAGGTGCACTCACGGTACCGATTTTTTTGCCATGAATTCAGCATGATATTTCATAGGGCCTGGGGTTGAAATATGGCAGTAGTCCATCAAGATATGAGGCCGATAAACCTGGCTTACCGTCGTTTCGCACCCTGGGCACTCGTCCAGCTGTCACTTCGAATGGCTCTCACTGCCGGAACGTGTTCCCTGATTCGTTGCCCTAAACCATCGTGCAGTTAACCTACGGCATGTACGCGACCATGGGCCTGCAGGGGGCTGTGGGTCAAACGACAGGCTCGAGCGGAGTTGCTGGTGGCCCCGTGGTGAGATACATGGCCCCTCGAACGGACGAAATAAGACCACCACAACAATTGTTCGACAGGCTTTCGCGATGCTGGGCCCTATCCTCTCCCTTCAGGCCGTTTGAAACGCCCTTCCTCGCGCGAGCGGCACGATGACCCAGCAGGGTACAGGGGACCGATCGTGCGGATGCCGCTACAGTAGGTGGCCCGATGCCGCTACAGTATTGTTGTTTACTGGACGTGAAAGCACGTCCTGACCAATTCGGGTCCATGTTCATCATGTTTCAGGATGTGAAGATGAGCGCTTGGTGCGTACATTGCTTTCTGCATTCGGAATGATTGTGTGTACCTTTTCGTTGCAGTCACTGGTGACGTACTCGGAGGATCAGTTCATCCGTAGCGCCGTTGCCGTCGCCACGGATACAGAACTTAACGGGCGCTCCAGGGAACTGATCCTCGCGAACAACCATCGGTGAGCCAACCCGATTGCACGTCGTCCGGCCGCACGTGGAGCTGTTAGAGAGACAGAGAGGGAAAGTACGACACTGAAGGCAGGGATTCGTGTACGATATGCCTGTCTGCCCCATGAGAGTTGAATTACCGTTTCGATAAGAAGGGAAGCAGAAAATACCGACGCTCATGCCAGCTACCACTCGACAGCACCGCCGTTTAACCGCTCATCGAACAGTGTCCTGTAAGCCAACCCCTATCACAGATAGTGCTGAACTCCAACAATTAAGTTCAACAAATAACGTGTTTTCGATTATGTGAGACTCCGAGTGTGCGACATACACGTGTGCCTGTGCTGCCAACTAACGCCCAGTCTCTACGAACAAGACACGGTCATCACGGAGTGGGAGGACTTCCTTGAGGGAATCGTGAGCGTTCCCCGCCCTGCCGCCACCGAGTTGGGGCATGGGCGACACAAGGGCCTCGCTGTCGACGTCTCCGACTTTCCCGACAAGCTCCCGTGGTGTAGGTGTGTCCCCTGGCTGTAGTGAACTTGGTCAAAGAATTGCCGCCTACGCCACTGATGATGATGTCAGTGCTTGCGGGCTTATGGCCAACATATCTCTAGGACAAGGTGAGGGTATCTGCTATCAAATCCATACTTCGGTTGCTTCTTTCGTTCAGTGGTACTTCGTGTCAAAGTGTCCCTTCACGTGAAAAATGTGGGTTGAGCTAAAGCATGTTCTTTGCAAGGTGAGTCGGGTGAAGACGTATTTTCCGCTGGGTGGGGTTCACGCTCGATGTCGTTCTATCCCTAGCCTCGTCCTACTATCGCTACAGAAGCTGTCTTATGATGGTCCTCATGTAAGGACCACAGTTTGACAGTATTTCGCACTCTGGGCGCCCCACCGATGCCAACGACTTGCACCAGCAGCAGCAACAACAGCAGCAGCAGCAGCAGCTACCATGGCATACCTAGGGATAATGAAAGTGTAAACGGCGAGGATAGGCACAGGCTACCCCACCAAGCGATGCCATCGGCGGGGGAAGGCTTGGATGGACTTGGGAACAGCGCTGGTGGTATTACTACGCCTGAGGGTGTGGCTGCAACTGAAGCACGTACCCAGAGCAAGAGCATTGGCCAGACACCAACGGAGACGTCGGCGTCGACCGTATCAGCAGCCACGGCGCCCTCGCTCTCGTCGAACTCTGACGGCTCTCAACCAAGCGTTGATGACGTCAGCGGTAACAACCCTGATGTCAGCAACAATAATCGTGTTTCCGACGGCGGACTCGTGGGGGACGATCCAGCGGCGGTCAAGCCCTCATCGGAGGTGCACGGCCCTCAGCCAAGCGGGGTCAACGTCGACGGCAACGGCAACCCTGATGCCAGCGCCAATGTCGATTCCGATGGCAGTCTAGTCGGGGGCGACGTCGGGTCGGAGCCTCTCTACGCGATCGAGTTCTCCGTGGCGCCACCGCGCGAGGGAGAGCAGGCGTCTCAACTTTTGGCCGAGGTATCTGTGTTCGCTGCATACAATGGGCTGTTGACCACGCAGAGGAAGCGAGGGGGTCGTGTTGCCACATGCGAGAGTCTGAAGATCTCTGTTGTCTTGGTTTGTTGCTCCCCTGCGCTCAATGGTTAGTGGTAAACATTGCCACTTCCCCCCCGACTGCCCAAAACGGCACGTGAGTTTCGCCTGGTGCTGTACAAGTAGCTCCGCTCGGAGAAATAGGCCGCTAACCTCATCCCACATCAACCCTCTGCATTGACATAGAACCTCCCAGTTGCAATATCTTGCATGATTTATCTGGTGTATTTTTGGAGCTTTTCGCTCGGGCCATTTTCCCGACTCTGCGGGTCTAAGTTCGTTTTCTGCATACTAGCCAGAGGTTCGTTCATGGTTGGGGTTCATTCTTAGGACCAATTTCTGTTTCCTGTTCTTCACGCCTTTGTCTTTCGCACGACTGTCCGGCGGTTGTACCTCGGTTCGTGGAGTTGCCTCTCTTCTCTTTTGTCCTACGGTACATGCCAGAGTCCTCTCTCCTCACGACCACCCTGTCATCATATTTGCCGTCGCAACAATGTATTTAGTCCCGGTCGCACTCACTCTCAATTGGTATTTATGAGGTCGGAGTCGCCCAAGAAAGATAGACAGAAGTGTGCAGTAGTCCGGTCATCGTGGCGTGAGCATTGGCCCGCTACACCCAAGACACCGATACGCGCCGAACTCGTCACATCGACGTCACGTGCCTTGTGCCACATTTGCCGTCTTCGTCTCCCGATTGTACCGCTCGTCGACGGCGTCCAAGCTGTACCACGGCAGCAACCCCATGGAAGTCGCAGACAGGCTCAGGGAGGAAGGAGCGCTGGACTACCTCCAGTACAGGTGGATCGGTGCCGTGCTCTGCCGGGGCACCAGGCGGCTCAATCGACCGGTGGTGTGGTCGACGTACGTGAGGATCGACGGCGGTCCGAGGCGAGTTGCGCGATATTGGTACATGAAGTGAAAAAGACGAACTGTGGCAACACCCCTCTATTGGAGAAAGGCACTGCAAGCACGACACAACACCACCTTCCAGTTGTAATAAGGCACGGCATTTTGAGGTCACGCTGACAATAACGAAAACAGTTAAATAGCATGGGGTATTTTACGATGCCTTCACAAGCTTGTACTCTACGACAACACGCCGTCCGCCGAAAATAAGTAGCGACTGTACATCTCCTTTTCTACACTGATGTATTCTTTTATCATTTTCGAAACGTACAACAGTGGTGCTCGTGGTTCCGGTGGCAGACAACACCCCGCCACGTCAGCAGCTCCGCAAGCGCAACACACCAAATCAGACGAACCTTAAAGCCAGACGAAGAAACGGTTTGGTTTACCCTCTGAGCCGAGATCGGAATGATTTGTAGTTGCGACCAGCAGGACTGCAAGCGCGCTTCGGTGCAATAGTCAAAACATTCGGAGAACAACGTACTACAATTCCTGGAGTCGGAAACCCAAAGTCAGAAGCAGTTGAAACCTCTACGATGCCACTTTCCTCCCGACAGTTGTTGCACCAGTCCCCTGCCCTACCGCCCGTCTAGGGTCCGATGCCTTTGAAAGGTCTTGCACAGTTTCGATAAATTGCGATGGCTGTCGATGTTTTCGTAACTCGATGCGCTTTGACTAACCTGGGCTTGATTTCAGTGAAAGCACCCTTTATTTCCTCCGTTGATTTTGAGTGCATCTATTGCTGCATTCGACGGCCCTTGGGTGCAATCCGATCGGTTGCCTTTGGCTCTGGAAACTACAGGGTCCTGCTGGAGGTCCGGCAAGGAGACGAGCTGTACCAAGTAGCCCGATGGCATTGCCGGCGGTATTCCTTGGGCCCAGAACGGATACCGGTTCTCAATACAAGACTAGAAAAGGTGAAAAGGGTCGGGAGATGCGGGGTTTGTGTAGCGAAAGGGTTTCGAGCTTCGTGAAAAAACGGAGGAAACACGCACGTCCACCGATATTCTTCGAGAAGGTCATATCATTCTCCGCCCCCTTGCTTAGGACAACAGTATCTACCACGCACTGCGCCGACGCACTGTTTCCTCACTGTATTGGCGTGAACTCTGTACTCGTGGATGGTAGAACAAGGGCAGAACATAGAAGTATTTGAAGATGAGCACGACCGACCCGGATTTCGTACGTGTAGGGACGGACGGGATCGATTTGGGTGAAACCGATCACCAACGCGCCTACGTACAACAATAATCTCTGTGACGGCAACGGTGGCGGTGATACCAACCGGAGCAACACATACATACAACGATTGATACCTACATATTCTAAATAACAGTGCACTGTGCATGGACGTTCGCTCTCTTGCGCGTCTTGCCGTCTTCCCGACCCCAGGAACTCCCTCAGCACGCCGACCCCGAGTGGATATCCTCGAGGGCGGAAGACCGAGCGTGCTCAATGCCAGAGCCCATGTCACGAACGCGATACTCTTCGTCAATTTCCTCCGATGACGGCACAATGGGAAATTACCCGCTCCCAGTCTCCCGCGCTTCAAATGGCGACCACCGGGCAACGCTGAACACGCCACCCGTGTCAGCCCCTAGAGGAGCATCGATAGAGTTTCGTGGGCGTGGTTTCGAGGTTGGCCGAGGAGGGTTATTTCCCGCTCAGGGTGATGTTTGGGGTACGGGCCAGGATGACGACGAAGACGACGACAGAGGGTGTGTCACGCTCGCCATCACCACATGCAAGCGCCTTCGGGCATTCCTGGGGACGGCGGAGGGTCTTCAGGCATGTTCATTGGAGGGAGATTGCACCAGCACTTCACAAACCTAGGATAGATTTGTATTCTCTCAATTCCCCAAGCGGGTCGTTCGGTTAAACGTTTGTCGCTTGTACTCGCTCTGAGCGCCGATGGCTGGGTCATGCAACTGCCCAACGCGTCACAATCAATCTGTCAACTCCAAGTGTTAATAGGTCGACCATTGCCCAAATGTTCTCCGCCTGGTGCCAACGAAAATTGTTGTTTCCCTTCGGTACGTTGAACTATGTAGATACACACGCCGTAACAACACGCGTGCGTGCGCAAGATCTGTCGCAAGGTTGCCAACCCGACCGATGCCGGCGTTCCACGATTGATGATAGCAAAGCGTGCTCCATTCCAATGCTCTATGGATGTGATGATGAGCAGATGGTCCGCTGAGGACCACGTCAGCGTCTTGGTACCGCGAAAAATCAACTCTCCGAAACGCCACCTCGTGCGCCTCTCCTCCCTCCTGAATATTGTGTGCACCGTCTCTCAGGCCTTGCTCGGGCCTCTACCGCGAGGCGAAGTGAGAGGAGACATCGCGGGCCCGAGGGTATGCCAAGTTCTGGTCGTCGATGACGGTAGTTCTCCCAAGGACCGCGGGGTGATGATGTCGGTCTTCCCTAAATTCACCTACGTCTTCAAGGGTGCTGGTGACGCCAAAGGTGATTTTCGGCCTTTCTCGGACGAGTAAAAACGACACCCCAGATGTGTGCATGAACCCTGAATCATTGTCACCCAAAGATGATATTCACCTCTTTGTCACGATCAACTATACGTGGTGCATCCGATGGTTGTCTCATGCACGAGGGACCAGCCGGTTCGTGTGAAAGCCAGATTTGACTTAGAGGGCAATAGCTGTCGCCAGTCCAACATGAATAGCCCTGCGTGTGGTCTACACAGATACCCGAAGCAAGTCTGTATAGTATTTTCATGTTGTCCGACGGTCCGCTCTCTGGGCAATGTATTTGCCGAAATATCGCAATTGTGAGTGAAAAGCATCATGGAGATATACATATTTGCGTCGCCTTGTCGTTTGAACAGGACACGCCGGCTCAATGAATATTGTTTTATCCCTGACCAAGACCCGGTACCTAATGTACGTGGAGGACGATTGGTGGGTTATTCACGACAACGACAAGCCTCCATCCCGCTCAGGTCCCGGCAATATCTTATGGCGTGCAATGGAGGTGCTGAAACGGTCGTCCGAACGAGTGTCACAGGCAAGTGAATTCAGCCGGTTCGTATTTCACTTTGAAAACGAGTGCAGCGATACAATGATGTCGAGGAATATCATTGAATATAAGGGCATCATATTTCATTCCTCTTTCTTGCCGTTATCCATTTCGGAGGGCAGACATTATCCAAGACAAAATTCATTCGACTGGTACCATTCCTTGAATGTACCATAGCCATTGTTTACAACAGATTGAATAGAACATCGTCGTGAATCAACTCAAAACTGTAGTATCCCGTACACCCGTTGACCTCTTCCTCAAAATACTTCCTTTGCTGTCCCTTTCCTCGTGATTCTCACCCCTAATGGTCTATTTCCCAGGTACTACTGAACGACCAGTCGACCAGGCATTGCGCTTGGGGAGACACAGTCACGTGCACCCCCGAAGTACAGGGCACCTTATCGGGCTGGCCGCGCCTCACTCACGCCCCGTCAGTTTTGCCTCCACAACCCGGTCGACCACGAGCAGATTCGTCAAACACGACAGCGGCAGTGGGCGACGGTGACAGCACCAACAACCGGTGCCGTGCTGGGGGTGGTTCAGAAGCGTTCTGCGGCGACAATGAAATGGGGGCGTCACAGCCACCAGATCATGGCGTCTACCGAGATAGGACGTCTGCGGGGAAAATCTCAGCGGATGAAAGCGTGGGGGTGGAATATCGGCTGCATGAGTTTGGTTTGCTGTCTCCCCTGAGAACCTTTGCGTACTGGCCTGGCTTTTCCTTGAACCCAGCGCTATGGGATCTAGCGAGGCTAGATGGCAGCTACCGACGGAAGTACGGTCGGGAAATGGAGTTCAACGAGTCCGACATCAGGTCGGATATGCCATCGTCTGCACGTGCACCTTTGAACGTGTGTGTTCGTGTGCAACAACAACAAAAAATCATTCGTATTCGCTCCAACGATAGAAGGACAGACTAGATGACACTCAAATTTTGATACCGTGAGGATGTCTTTCACATCTGCAATATTTCATGGAATTCTTTTCCATGGGACTACATGTACTTCAATACCGGAGATTGATTTTTGGCACTCAAATATTTCTCCGATCGATCACAACCTAACCGCAACCTCCCTCCCCACCGTCGGCTGACCAACGCTTGTCCACCTGTCCACAAGGTTCGAACAAAGCATATCCATGGAATTGCTGGACGCCGGCGTGGCCGTGGCGCATCTTCCAGACTTGACATTCCGACATGTTGGGGGTATGCAATCGGCGTACGAAGCGAACAACATGCGAAGGCCATGGGACTGACCGATCAAGTACTAGTAGTAGATCTATGGCAAGCTGTGCGGAATATGTGGGGACCGCCAGTGTGTGTCATAAACGAGACCTGGAAATAAAATGAGTATATTGTGAGTACATTACCGTTGTGTCCGACACCCGGGAAATATCTGACAATGTATATCAGACGAAGGTTGTACCGCTTGGTGCCGCAAACGAGACCCGGACACGTATGGAAATATATTGAACATTTCCGCATAGTTTCATAAACGAGACCCAGAAACGAAATGAGTACAATATGAAAAATACCCCTGGGTGGAGGTTCCATCCGATGGTCCCCGAACGTAGATCATCTTCCTGATCACATGCTTCGTCGTGAACCGGACATCGTCACATTCGCTTTCCGAGCCTTTGGACAATCGTTTTTTGCGATCCAACAATAGCACGTGTCATTGTCCTCTTGCTCTACGACCAAGTGCGATACCGCCGTAGTGAACTCTGGTCCCAACGCTTATGAGTCAATTTGACGCCCCAGTTCGTCAATCGCAAGGTTTGTTTTTTCCAGATGTATTCGTATCAGATGATAGCACCGTAGACGTTTCGGCTACGAGTCAGGAAGTTCGTATGTATGAATTATTTGGTCGTAACGACATGTCGAATGAAAAGAGAGGTTGTTCACTGCATGGCGCGACGTGACCGCGACATTGTCCACCGCCCGCGGTACTGCGCATCGTTGTCTGATGTCCCCCTTGCCCTTGGCGACTGGGGCTTCGACTAATTATTGTTGCAATGTCTGGCCCACAATTCTGTTCGTTCCTCGAATTTGCGGGGTGCCGGCAGGAACCTAAATGCCACGTATTTAGATCAGCGGGGCAGCTTCCCCACTGAAACTGTGTCAGACCATTCGCATATCTCCTGTGAATCGAACTTTGGGCGGCGGAGTGTTTCTTCGAACCGACGCGTCCAATGATGTAGGCCGTGCTCTCTTCGCGACGTGAAGCTCATCTGGAAAGACCAGGCGAGCCGAGAGGGACCACAATCCCGTCGAAGAAATTATGACCGTTCTTTCCTACATTCAACTCGATGAAAAAATGCAAACACAGAGAGAGAGCAGCCGCGTATTTGAAACGTCACTCACTGAGATGACGCCATAATAGTTGCACGGCGGTGATGCCAATCTCTAGAGAGAGAGAGACAAGGTGCCCGCAGTTTTCTGATTGGTCGATTTTTTTAAAGGAAATTTCCGATTGGCCAAAAATCCCTGGTCGACATGTGATGTCAGGTGGAACAATGTGAACTGAACGACGCTTCATGAGACTGCTGCAGCGCAATAAGCTCGAGTGTTTTTCCCGCCGCATCTATCTGTTCGCTTCTTGCCCACACCCGTCGGTGCCAAGCGAACCGCTGTCGTACAAAAAAAATGTTTACGCCAGGGGTGAGCGTTGGCACCCTTCTCCACCAAATAGGTGCAGATGGCCAATTCACTCGACACCGACACCTCAGCCGCGTATTTGAAACGTCACTCACTGAGAATATGCCATAAGAGTTGCACGGCGGTGATGCCAATCTCTCTCCCGTTGGTATTGTCCTTTCGGACCCTATGCATTGATTGTGGTCGTTCCGGTATACACCCATATGTACATCGGCAAATACTGCTGTAGTCAACGCGATACCATCAGCCACTTCCGACTCCCGGTCAGGTGCTGCTGCTACACCGACAAGGCCGCCATCGAGCCCGCACGGAGCAAAACCCCACCACACGTGATTCTCCTACCCGGCATACAGCTAGCTGCCACTCCTTGAAACCATTTCGCTCAAGACCGACTTCAACAATATTCCCTACACAGCAATCCGATCTCGACTTCAACAAAATACCCTGCATAGGAATCCCATCTGCGTGTCCCCCTATCAAAACTACCTCCGTGGACCGCTGCACCCGGTCTAAAAAAAGTGGACGTAGACGAAGTAACATTATGTACACAGGCGAAGCACAGGGCCAACGAAAAAAGCGCACCCGAGAACATAACTCAATTCCAAGCCGCTTTTAATACACTAATGTACGCGGTTATCACGATCGAATCAAGGGGGCTGGGCGCACGAGAAGATGGATACCGCCGTGAGCCGGCGAGTGCTCCGTTTGCACTTGCGCCTTTCGCAGACAGCAGGCGAAGTCTCAAAAACAGCAAGACCGGAGCGTGGTTGAACAGGACGACGCAAGGATGTCCGAGCACACGCGAGAGAAAATTCGCGAGGAAAAAACAAAAATCCCGGCCTTCGAATGCAACAACCCTACAGCTCATATTCACAACGATAAACGCAGAGTTTGCCTCAATTCCGACTGTCGCACGCATATGCGCGTACGTCGATCGAAAGAGCGGCGGGGAGCGAAGCCCAATATGTAGAACCCTGACGACACCCCGAGAGGCCAAGGTTGGGCCGCAAGATGCATCGGCCGCAGCACCCATCTTTCCCTCTCCTGACGCCAAAAGGTATGAGGCGCCACCACCCAGCTGACGAGACAAACTAACGGTTCGCTGTGCCTCCGAAGGAGGACCGCATCCCCCCGCCCCCGCCGCCCCCTCCCCCGCCCCCGCCCCCACGGAAGCCTCCTCCTCCGCCACGAAAGCCTCCCCCGCCCATCCGTCCGAAACCGCCTCCCATGCCCGGTCCCATCGGTCGGAAAAGACGGCCGCCTGCGGCACGGATCGGGGTGGCACCGGGATGGCACGATACGGATCGGGATTATACGGTACGGTACAGTACATCACGGTACAGAACGGCACGGTGCGGTATAAAACGGTACAGTGCGGAATGGTGCCGTGTGGTGCCGTAGGCGACAGGCAACATGTACAGGTGCAAGGTCGTTGATGCTGGCTGTTGGTGCCCGACGGCCGTTAGAATAGAACGTGGTGCGCAAAACGCGCCATCCATCACGGGAGAACCTGGGATTTAAGAACTTCAGGCTAAAAAAACAAGAAACTTTGGAAAAATGACCAAAGAACAGGTGCACCAGCTACGAATGCTGCACAAAACTAGATGCCGGACGTTGGGGCTACTGCACAGTGCTAACAAGACACGAGCCTCGGCCGAAAAAAGCAAGTAGCTTCTGCACCTATTCGTTCTGCTGCTGTTGCATCTGAGAGACCTTTTTCCGTTCACTTCTCGCACCAAATTCCAGCTGCCGCAAGACATTTGCGCCCTTGCACACAAAAGCCGCGAATTTCTCGTTGTCATCTCACCAACCCCCCCCCCCCCCCCCCCGAGCCAGACAAGCGCACTGCCATGCCAACCACTCACCACCAAACCCTCGAAGCCCCCTACCCAGAGCAAAGCCAGTTAGCCCGCCGAAGCCAAAGGGCCTCGCGAAGCCAGCGCCTGGGTGAATCAGCCGTGGCCTCGGACCCCCTCTCCTTGGGAAACGGCCACCCATGTGTTGCTGAGACGATATCAGGTCGGCAAACAAAGGACCAGGCGAGCGGTGACAAGTCTGGATACATCGCGAAGCGGTGAGGTCGGCGTTTCGCGGGTTACCCGCAAGAGGTCCCCGGCGGGGTCTGGCTGTGGAAAAGGCGGTAAGACCACCACTGACGAGAGTGTTAACGGTTTTGTCTTGATTGACGGAAATAAAACCACTTCCACGCTCTTGAAAAATGCATGCACTGCTGTTCGCCTTCTTGGCATCATCTGTGAATCCGTCCAGGCCAGGTGCCTCCTACGCTCCGTGGTACGCGGTATCTCCTCAAGCGGGGAGACCTCAGCACTAGGCCCCCCTTTTCCTCACCGAAGGAGAGGTGTCTACCTACACACACGATACCATCCGGGAAGAACATCAATCACTACACACGGCCATACCACGGGATTGGAGTAAACGGCACTAGTGCTGTGAGCGCTGACTTGAAATGAAGACAACACAAATATATACCATATATATATATGTCGTACCTGCTCATTATTGCCGAAAACGTCCTGCTGGTACAGTCTCCACTCGGCCTCCCGCGGGTCTGTGGAGCGAAAAGGGAGTAGGGGAAAGGACAGCGCCCCAACGCACAGCAAGCGGCAACCACACGTGAGCTAGTAGGACAAGGCAAACGGGTTGCAATTCTCGAAACAAAAAAACGATGTCACCTACTGCTGTAACGGCCGACGGCAGGAATGCTGCAGCCTACTGCACCAGGGTCTCCCAGAATCGAAAACCTTGGAGCATTCGAGCTGAAAACGATGTCAACTATTATAGTGTGACTGATGACGGAAGCATTCTTCAGCCCGCGGTTTCTTTGGGGCGGTTTCGCGGGCAGTTCCACGGCCTGACGGCAGAACGCATCAATAGAGAGGTTTGGGCAAAGAAAAAACAATACGCCTCTGTCCCCAAAATGACCCTAAAACAAAATAACAAAGGAAGAGGATTTAGTCTATTGCATAATACGATAAATCACAGCAACCAGCAGCCCTACGTTCACAACAACAAAAAAAGGGAAGCAATCATTGGTTACAATTCGTCATTGCAACGTCACAGCAACAAGCCACTCACCGTTCCATGTGGTCGTTCTGTTGTTGTGGTTGACGAAGTAGCGCTCTCCGCTCGCTTGGTCGACTCTTACCTCCCAACCCTGTGAAGACACAGCAGTGGACAGACAAGACAGAGGAGAGGAGAGGAGAGAGGCCTTAGAGCGGTGAGAAGGACGTGCGCAGGCGATAGAAGTGCTTCCTTCATGACACGCAACAACGACGCACGGCACCGCCTCGCGCGATATGTGTGGCAGAAACGGATAGAAGAGAGGAAAGGCGTCAGAGGCGCGAGCCAACAAAGCATTCAAAAAAACAAAAAAGGCGAAAAGTGAACAGCAGCAACGCATTGATAAGAGGCAACGTCACCTACTATGATAGATCGGAGGGGTCGATGGAGAGACAGAACTCGACACGTAGACTATGTCCTCATCCTAGATACCAAAGGCAGTCATGGCTATACCCGACACGGAGTCCTATCACGCTTCTTGCCGAAGTCTCTGGCCGCCAGCTTGGACCAGGTAGCCGCACGAACCCCGAACGCACGAAGGACAAAGCACCACCCACCACGGCACTTCTACTCGAACAACGCTGAGAACAAAATTTAAAGGCTTCCCCACACATCCCCTTCCAAGTGTGGTATAGTATCTCGAACGGGTAGACGTCTTTCTGTGATTTATGTGCATATTTCAAAAACACAAACACACAAACCAATCTTTATCCAAGCCGAGAACTAGGTTACTCCCGCACCAAAAAAACCGTCAAACAAAGCAGCGGCGCACCGACCCCCCCCCCCACCTGAGGCAACGCCATGTCATCGATCCGCCGCGGCGGGAATCGCGCCGTCGCCCCGCCCCCGCTCTCCGCCCCCGCCACCCCCGCTTCCATCTGCACCGCCTCGGCCATCGGGATGCCCACGGCGCCCCCGCCGCCTGCC